AAAGATTATGGGGGGGGGGGGACAAAAAAACCCCTCTGAAAGCATTTCTCCTTTCTGAGACGAGTGTAAAAGAAAATGACTTCCCGGTCAATAGACCAAGTTAACTGAGGTCGTTAAGACAGAACACAGTCCAGGGGATATATTTTTTAATATAAGGGTCCACCCAGGGTCGTGACTTCACACCGCCTTCTAAAGAACTAATGTGGCTTAAATCTCAGGAAGTGCATGGACTGTTTTTTAATATGTAGTTTTACTTCATTTAGGTTTCATTACGTTCATAAATTGAGGTCCCTGCTGAAACGTGTTTAAGATTTCCGTCTTAAACCGCATCATGGAAAAAGTCGAGACAAGGACGTAGCGGTGATACGTTCATAGGATGAAGTGCGGCACCCACTTGCCACTTAGACAGGAAATCAGACGCATACCGCCTCCAAAGCCTACTTTTACCTGTAAATAACTCCCGCTGATGGGAATAAGGCTTATTCCGAAGCCAGCGCGCGTGGAGGAACAGCCTATTACCGCTGGGATTCAGCTCCTAGGCAGGAATATGCCTCGTACCTTCCTCCCCCTGCCACATTGACGGGAGGATTTTGCAGCTGGCGTGGGCTGCCCGGGGTGAGCAACGCCACGCAACCCACTTTCAAAGCAAGCAGCCCAAGTCTTCTGGGGGAGATGGACCCAGACGGACGGGCGGGCGCTCTTCAAACGTCCCCGGTGCCAAGGCTGGCAAATGCCACCAGTTGCTGGCACAAACGGCAGGCCCGGCTAGCGCTGGCAGCCTTGCTCCCGCCTTCAACAATAGCAGGTCAGAGGGAAACGGTCGGGAAACGAAAGCGACCGCTTGGGCGGGTTCTCAGAGGGCGCCTTGCTTAATCTGCATCCGCACTTCTTCAGGTGCAGACGTGGCAAAAAAAAAAAGGGGGGGGGAATGCGTTGTAATTTTGCCCATAATTCCAGCCGACCCAAAAGCTATCCTCCCAGAGGTGGCAGCGAGAAGGATCGGGGGACACTTGTGGCTGGCCTCACCCCGACCGTGGGCTGCTTTCGGTGTTGCCCCCACGTTTGGTGCCTTTTCTCCTCCCCTCGAAACTCACCAGTCCAGTCTAGTGCAACCCTGGGTTGCCTGCGAAGACCTGGAAAGACGCGAGTGATTTTTATCTGTAAACTTAGATCTCTAGGCTAAGGTCTCCAGGTTTGCAAGAGGCAAAGAGCTCAACTGACCTCCCTGAGCTACATTCTTGAGCCCCTGGCCGGAATAGTAGAGGGGGATGCCGTCCGGACTGAGGTGTCGCCCTCCTGAGAGAAAAGCGCGGGAGGAAGAATCGGGAGCACCGCACTTCTAGCGAAGGGAGAGTGAAACCCTTCCTTCCTCGAGGAAAAGGAGCCCCCAAGGGCCCAAGCATAATTTCTCCCCCCGTGCCCTCCCCTCCTCCCAGTTACAGCTTCCCAAAGCAGATTCCCTGCCACAAACCTCGGATCTCCCCCCGTTCATCGATGGCCACCGCTTTAGATCAGCAGCGCGCCCCAAGCAGGCGCTGGACACGGCGCGTGAGGGAAAGGAGGCCTTTTCTCAGCTTGACCAGGGGACTGAAAGGTATGGCATTTAGCTGGGCTCGGCGCGCAGGCGAAGCCTCCGGGGCTCCTGGGCAGCCTCTCCTCAGCTGCTTGGATGCCCCCGCCGCCACCACAGCAGCACTGCTCTGAGTTTGCTCGCCCGACTCCGCCTCGGGAGAGAAGGGTCCCTAAATCGAGGGAGCAGCCTCCCGGGCGCCTCTCGGCCGCTTCCCTTTAGCCCGCTGCCTCCCGCCCTCCTCCAGGAGCGCCAGCCCGCCCGCCGAAACTTTCTCCGGGCTGAGATACCTTTTCCTTAAACTCCGGAGCCGCCGCTACCACGCCTCCCCTCCCCGCCCTTCACGCAACGAGACTCGCCCGGATCCAGCGTCCCTCCTCCCGCAAGTCCCGCTCCTTTCTCGCCCCCACCTCCCTCCTAGTTTAACCGGGCAGGGGCGCTTGCGCACTGCTGCGCTTTTCTCCCATCCTTTGGCCCGTGGAGCTTTCCCGAGATTGTTGTAGGGTAAGTAATGTATTAAATAGTCCAGATCACACACAGCCCAGCTTTCCATCCACAATAAACACCCCCAGCCTTCTTTGTGAACTCAAACAAACCTGTTTGTGGCCTAATTAGCCGTGAAAGGTAAGCGATTGGGGCTTGCCAGTCCCATCACTACAGCATTTCGCTTGTTCGCTCGCTCGCTGGACCTCCCTCGGGGTCTTCCGTCTCCGGTGGGGTCCTGATTTTGGAAAGAGACGGGCAAGGTGGCCCGAGCGGGATGGGCTGCGTGGATGAGTGGGAAAAGGAAGGAGGGGAGAGAGCGAGAGAAATTGCGCTTCCTTTCTGGTCCTCCAATTAGGCTAGAGGGCAGATTGATCGGGCAGAGCTGCGTGCCTGATGCTGCTGCCAATTTGATTTGATCCGCAATTGACTCGAAACAGGCATCAAACAGGTCCGAGGAAGGAGAGGCTGACCCCGAAGAATCCTTTCCTTTCCTTTCCTTTCCTTTCCTTTCCTTTCCTTTCCTTTCCTTTCCTTTCCTTTCCTTTCCTTTCCTTTCCTTAATAGAGAGAGCTATTTTTGTCGCTTTACGTCTGGTGTGGTGTCCTCAGTAACTTTGGAGGGAAGCCGTGCATATGTATGTTGGAAGATAGTTAGAAAGTTGGAAGGAAGTGATTCTTTGTGCTTGTATCCCTGGTGGGAACAAGAACAGGGAAGCGGCGCTGCTGAACGATTGGGGAAGTGATGTGATTGAAAGAGGTGACTTTGTCTTCCATCCAAATATTGAAATCAGACTGAAACTACTTCGACCGGTCTGGAAACGGGAAAGATGTCTTAACTGGGGAGGTGGGAGGGGGGCAGAGACGGTGGAAGCAATTAAAACTCCTCCTCTCGGATTAACAACCAAAAATTGATCGATCTGCCAGGAATACTGTTGATTTATGAAAGGTGCTTATTTCCTTGGTATGGAGAATTTTATGTTCTCTAGGTGAAACTGAGTTCACCCAGCTCTAGAGTAGATTGATGTTTTAATAAAAATAAATAAAGAGAAAAAGCTTGCCTGGTCTTTGGGGACATCAACTCTCAAATCGCGGAGTTAGATTAACAAATCAAATAGTATTATCTTTACATTTCCTACCTCTTAATTGAATGTCTTTAAAAATGACAACCCTTTTATTATGTGGAAAGTGAGGAACGGTGGTTCCCTTCCTTTTATTTTATTTTTTTGAGACAGCGCTTTCCAAAGTTCAAATAACAAAGCAATCAATGTTTCATAAGCAAAATGGCACAGAGAAATAACCGAGTAATTTTGATAAGTGACTTAAACAGCAATCAAAACCTAAAGAATCTAACATGAACCAACGCCGGGGATTTGCCAAGGAAACGCCGAATGTCCTGTAGGTGGCAGACTATACCCGCTGTTTAGCGTTCACCAAGTCTTCACGCCCGCCCCCCTTCGAAAGCCAGAAGGACAATTTTGTTGGGGAGGGGGCAATCCCAGCACTTGTTTATCTAAGGTAATCTGTGTTTGTTTCTCAGACCGCTTACATTTATGTTTTTGAGAAAACAATGCAATCTTTATTTTCAGAAAAAGGAACCGAGTTAGAATTCAGCCGGTCGATTTACAATCAAGGTGTTAAACGGGAGGGAGGCGGCTGGGACGGGTTAAAACTCTCACTTGGGAAGAGAGAGCTCGATCCTGGGTAACATATGCAAATATGCAAACTATACAGTACTTATACGGAGGGAGGTTCAAGCATTCTCAGTAAATCACCTTGCGAGGGAGTTGGTCCTTCCCTCCGTAGCGCAAGCCAAGGCATGCTGAAGTGCGCTGGCTGGCGCAGCGGAAAGCTACAGAAGGACGCGCGGCGGGCCGGTTCATCTCTTTCTCTCCCAACACGCACCGCTTGGCCTCCCCTCCCCGTCCGCTTTGCAATGTAAATTTCAGCGGGACAAATTGCTTATTAATAGTCTAGAAGAGAAGCCGGTTTCTTTCTTTCGTCTTTCCTTTTTCTGTTTTTATTTCTGCATGGCCCCCAGCTATGCTCTGGGCAGCCCAACCGCCCAGCAGCTCTCTCTTCATTTCAATATCCGAAAGAAAATGCAAATCACCCGCGCTCAGAGCACACGCTTGTCCGCTTCCTCTTCTTTCCCCTCTTCTCTCTCTCCCTCTCCCTCTCTCCCTTTCCCTAAAGTGAAGTTAGCAACAGCTTTAAATGGTTCCATTAATGTAGTGGTACATAAGCATGTACTGCACGAACATTTTTTTTAACCCGCTCCTGTTCTTTAGGGCTAGGGTTTTGATCAATTATGCCTGGAGGATCAAAACTCACCAGCCAAACAAACACATGCGAAAGGGTACGAGCTTGCCTAGGAAAGTCTGTTATATCAATTTCTTTGCTCGGTGGACCAGCTTTTCAAGGTGTTAATCCTTGAGAAGGCAGCTCATGTTTTGGGGGCTCCAGAACACACGGGCCGTTAACGGAGACGGAAGAGCCTGGCTTTTTTCCGAGGCCAGGCGGGAAGGGAAGAGAAATTAGTTCTGGCCTTGGATGAAATAAGGGTGGCCTCCTTCAGTACTGCTGAATTACTGGAGGATCATCTGTCCAAGAGGTCCGTTTCCTTTCCACCCACTGGGAAAGAAACTGCAGCAAACGTAGCCGGTCCACACCATCGGAGAATTTTATAAATGCTGGGAAAAGCAAGAGGTTCCCCAAAGGAACGACCCCACTGCTCATCCTCCAAGAGCGCATCTCTGGAGGAGTATATGGCCAAGGTTCTGTAGGGCTGCGATCCCCGATGGGGCAGGGCAGGAGAAGGGTGCTGGGTTTAGGGGTGCCACTTGGAGGAGGAAAGAGTTAAGGTCCCTATTTTGTACGCGCGGGGCCCGCAGGAAATCTGTGTCTTCTAAATGCCGCGTAATAATCATTTAAAAAGTGAGAAGTTTTGAGACACCTTTCTTGATTATACCTTTGGCAATACTTTAGATTTTACAATTCATTTGCATTTTGTTCGCGGCGCACATGGAAGCCTTGAGTGGAGGGTTGAATTTTATTAGGACATCTGGACTGACAATATCAAATCCGACACCGGCGTCCAAAGCATGCTAAAATTGCAGAGTTAATTAGAACGAAGTGTGTTTAATTAAAGCCAATTATAATGTCTGAAATGGCCGGATCGATCCTTGTTTGTTCAGTTTGAGTCGAGGGAGATTCGAATAGTGGCGTAACGAGGATCAGTCGCTTGCCAACTTCCCGCATGAAAAAAAGGCGCTTGTTGGGTTGTTCGCGAGAAACTGGGGTGCGGCAGCACAGGGGACCCACGAGAAGAACAAAGAAGAAGCAAGGGCCGGCCAAGTCCGCGGTGAGGTCTTTTGCCCGACCAAGAGGGATGAGCCGCTGCCCCAGCCGAAGAGGCTGTGAAACTTCCTCTCCAGCCCGCCCCCGCCGCCAGCCCGCCAGCCTTCATTCCCCTCCGGATCTTGGATTGCTCTTTTACAGCCTTCAGACCTTCCTTCCTTTCTCGCAATGAGAAAAATAGTCTTTCCGGGCGAACACGTCCTTCCAACTGAACTCGCTTTGGACTGATCCGCTTTTGCTCCCTTTGAAGGAACGCTTGCGGTCTGGCCTGGCCTCCCTCCCCCATCCCCACCCCCTTCAAATCCTTTCCGGACACGCATCAGTTCTGTTCCACCTTCCCAGATGAAGACGTTTGAAGCCCTCTGGCCCATTAGGGCACATTTTGTCGTGTCTCTTCCGGTTGAACGCGCTCCCTAGTTTTAGATTCACACGGGTACCAGTGGCATTTCCCTGAAATCCCGCTGTTTCCTCAGACTCAGTTCCTGACTTAAACCAAAAGTCTTCTAACTCCACATTAAGCCAGGTTCTGTCATCTTTGACCCCCACGAACATTTTGCTCACATATACTGAGCCCATGGCATTTTTCAAATATGATTTTATGCTGTTTGGAGGGCAATTTTGAGGTTTCTCTCTCAGGCGGATGCTCTATTGCTCTAGTTGTTCTAAAGAAGTGGGGAGGGAGCAGCAGAAAACACTTGTTAATTTTGCATCTTCCTAAAATGTCCCGTTTATTCAGTTCCAGTCATAAGAAACGCCAAAAAGAGTTTTCAAATGAAGAAATCTATTGGTTTGTTTGAAAGAAAGAGTGGAAAATAATCCTTCTGTTTCGTTAAACCTCAATATACAATGCGATGGAAGGGGAGAGAGGGAGAAAGATGCTACTTTTCTGTCCCCCTTACTTACAATCTCAATCTTATTTGCTCTGAAAATCTCTTCTTTCACCCAAGGAGGCGCTGTTCGTCAAACTTCCTCGCCGCCGCTCAGCTCCGAGGCGCTCGAATTTTTTACTGAGAAATCAATCTCTTTATTCAGGGAGACTGGGTGTGCGCGTGTCTGTATGTTTCACGAAACTCGTCTAGTAGGGTCTTTCTTTTCCTCTGCTTTCCCCCCTTTTTTTCCCTGTCCAGTCTTAAAAACTTAAACAAAAACAAAAGGGGAGGGGGGGGAGGGGGGAGGGGAGGGGGGAGGGAGAAAGTCTTAAACCCCACAAAGAAGCTTGTTCCCACCTCAGACCTTGTTGCTACAAAACTTACGAGGCGCCTTTAGAAACATCAGGGAGAAAGGGTTCATTTTTCTGCATGTGAATATAAAAGGCACCCTAGTTCGTTTCTTCTGGTTGCTGTTATTCTTGCTGTGGTTCATACTTTCCCCTTGCTATTATCTTTTTGTTAGTTAAAACAACAA